ATTTTTCGCTCGGGGTTTAATCCCGTAGCCTTATACCTACCAAAGTTAATCTGCAAGGTAGCGGGGCAGTGGTTGGTAGGTGCTAGGACGTATCCACATGCCAGTGGGCCTATGCACCGTCCCTCTGGGGCCCACTGCTGCTCCGAGATTCCCTGCTGGTCTAGCCTGGGCCCACGAGGCACCCAGCTACCGTGTGTTGCCACGAGGAGGCACAGCAGGAGTCTTGATGGTGAAGAGGCTGTGTACTGGCAGGCGATGACTTGTGCAAGTTGCTTCCCTGTTCGCCACGAGGGCCGGCCAGCGGTGGTAGCTGAAAGCGAGAGGAAGCAAGCAGTGCTTGCACCTTAACACTAACATAATGCACGCGTGCACACACACACACACACCCTGGACAGGCTACAGGCATGGACTACGGAGAACAAGGTCACCATCAACCACACCAAAACCGTAGTCATGCACATCAATATCGCCACCACTCCAGTGCAAGCTCCAGCAGTCACAGTGGGTGCCCATCCTCTCCAGTTAGTGCAGTCTGCCAAACTCCTGGGCGTTACCATAGACCACAAACTGGACTTGAAGGCCCATGTAAATAACACAATCAAGGCAGCCCCGTACTGACTCTTCATGTTACGACGACTCAGGTCACTTGAGGCACCCACGCCAGAGCTGAGGACTACCCTACAACGCATTTATACTCCCAAAATTGACGAATGTGTCACCAGCCCGGTCGTCTTCTCTCAAGTCAACCCAACAACGTCAGCTAGAGAAGGTACAGAAGAGGGCCTGCAGAATCATGCTCGGCGCAGACTACTCCGGCTACAACAACGCTCTCTCCACCTTGGAAATGCCATCCCTCAGTGACCTCCACCACCAAGCACTGGCAAGGTTTGACAGTGAACTACTGCACCACCCTCATCATCGCCACCTCCTGCCACCGGCAGCCCCCCCACCCACCTCAAGCAGTCCGCCACTACAACAAAATTCAGCCCATAAGAGCCCGCACCGATAGATATAAGAATAGCGCCATCACATCTATTGTTAAAATAATAAACAACTCCTGATTTATGTACTGTACAGCCCTGTAAATGTATTCAACGCATATTATATCATTATGTCTAAATCAATTGTAAGTCTGTATATTTTCAGCCACTGGCTGCAACTCTATTAATAAACCATTTATTATTATTACTATTATTATTATTATTATTATTATTATTATTATTACACACAAACACACGCACACACACACACACACACACACACACACACACACACACACACACACACACACACGCACGCACAAACACACACACGCACAAACACACACACGCACACACACACACACACACACACATACACACACACACACGCGCGCGCGCACGCAAAAACACACACACACACACACACACACACACACACACTGTATAAGGTAAAATATTTGCTGGTTTCAAAAGGTCATAAAATATCTGCTCACAAAAACACTTAATAGAGCTTTGCCTTCTTATAACCTACACACTAATAGTTCACATTCCACATGTAAATTCTCCTAATTATACCCAATGTTTATGCATGAAATTATATGTTGTTATCCCAGCCATGGTACTTCCAGATAAGAAATACACCGTTGCTGAGAGAGTTTCATAATTATTTGCATATATATGACTACCCTTTGTGTTATATAATCGTTGGTGGTATAATTATTTCCATTATCTCGATTGGGTTAATTACATTTTGCTTGTGGAACACTTTTTTAAATACTGTTTCTTGTTATTGTTGTTGTTGTTGTTCCTCTTACTACTTGGTATGTATTGTGTTTATTTGTTCATCTACTTGTTTCTCTCTTCCTAATACTTTATTCATCACACTCCAACACTCAACATCTGTGACCATCCCTCCACACACGTCACCTTCACCTCCGCCCTGCTCATGTTCCCTGGTGAGTTATGAGGCAGTTTTGTCAAAATGGGAGACTCGTGTGTCCTTACTAGTAAAAAAAAGTGAGAAAATCATTCCCTCTTTTTCCTCTCCCGCGGGAACATGAGCGCCGCCACACCTGCTGACTCAGGTGAACCGAATGAAATGGGAAGCAGAGATGAATGGAAGGAAGAAGTTAGGTAGCGAGGTCGAAAGGAGGTGTGCTTCATGATAAGGCCTGTGTGTGTGTGTGTGTGTGTGTGTGTGTGTGTGTGTGTGTGTGTGTGTGTGTGTGTGTGTAACAACTCCTGATGGTTAAGATTTTTTTTTTTAAAGAAAACTTAATTTGTTTCTTGAATAAAGCGACAATAAGAGAGGAACAATGTAGGATGATAACGCTTTTGTAATGACTAGTCGCTTTCCTCAGTACTGCGGGGATTACCAGTACTACAGGGATTACCATTACTACAGGGATTACCGGTACTACGGGACTTACCAGTAACTAAGGGGCTTATCAGTAACTACGGGGCATACCGATACTACCAGGCTTACCAGTAACTACGGGCCTTATCAGTATTACGGGACTTGCCAGTATTACGGGGCTTACCAGTACTACGGGGCTTACCAGTACTACGGAGCTTATCAGTACTACGGGGCTTACCAGTACCACGGGACTTAGCAGCACTACGGGGATTACCAGAACTACAGGGCTTACCAGTAACTACCGGGCTTACCAGTACTACGGGGCTTACCAGTAACTACGGGGCTTACCAGTACTACGGAGCTTATTAGTACTACGGGGCTTACCAGTACCACGGGACTTAGCAGCACTACGGGGATTACCAGAACTACAGGGCTTACCAGTAACTACCGGGCTTACCAGTACTACGGGGCTTACCAGTAACTACGGGGCTTACCAGTACTACGGAGCTTATTAGTACTACGGGGCTTACCAGTACCACTACAGGGCTTACCAGTAACTACAGGGGCATACCGGTACTACAGGGGCTTACCAGTAACTACGGGGCTAACCAGCCACCAGGGACTTTGCAGCACTACGGGGATTACCAGAACTACAGGGCTTACCAGTACTACGGGGATTACCAGTAACTACAGGCCTTACCAGTACTGCGGGGATTACCAGTACTACAGGGCTTACCAGTACTACAGGGCTTACCAGTAACTACGGGGCTTACCAGTACTACGGGACTTACCTACGGGCTTACCAGTAACTACGGGGCTTACCAGTACTAGGGACTGTAGGGATTACCGGTACTACGGGCTTACCAGTAACTACAGGGGCTTATCAGTACTACGGGGCTTACCAGTACTGCGGGGATTACCAGTACTACAGGGCTTACCAGTACTACGGGGCTTACCAGCAACTACGGGGCTTACCATTAACTACGGGGCTTCGAATAAAAACTGGAGTGATGTACTGCAGAGTACGTTGATGAGAGGTTATGGGATGGGAAGGGGGAGAGGAGGAAAGGAGATGAAAGAGGATAGGAAAGAGGGGTGGAGATAGTTGGAGAGGGAGGAGAGAAGATGAAAGAGAAGGGTGGAGATATGGAGGGGAAGACGAGAGAGGGGGGATAAATGTGAAGGGGAGGAAAAGGGAGGAGGGCAGAGGAAACAGATGGGCGGGGAGGAGAGGAGAGAGGGGCTGTGGAATGGGGTAGGAGGGAAGGAGAGAAAAATAGTGGAAAAGAGAGGAAGGGTACAAAGAACAAAACTCATTAACCTTCCATTAGTCAGCCGCTCACGACACCTCACCGCAGGAAACCAGGTGCAAGGAGACGTGATGAAAGAAAAAAAAACTTTGTTGTTCTTGAAGTTTAGGACAAGATATAAGTTCAGTGGTCTGGGTATGTAAGTGGGAAGGAAGTATGTTAAATCAGGAGGGGGGGGGGGAGTGTTACTCTACTGGTGGTCCAGTTTTTTCGTATTGCTTCATCTTATTTAAGTTGTTTTCAGGGTTTCGAGTCTTAAATTGCTGTAAACTAGAGACCATATTCTGACTGGCTGAACGTTGACCGGGAGGGTACTAGAAGAGATATCAACTGAGTGTAGACTTTAGGGCTTAGGCCATATTTTTAGTGGTGGAGTGTTGATAGGGTTAGCAAACAATAAATATTGACAAAGTGTAGACATGAAATCCATAATTTGAATGACAAGTGTTGTTACATGGTTGACAAGAGAGATATAGTCTCGGCTGATTATAGACTGGCAGCCTTCCTGAGCGTGGCAGAGTGATGGCAGAATTACCATGGCAGTAAGCTAAGACAAAGGCATCGTGAAGTCCTACTCAGAGTGACAGAGTACAGGCGGGGTGATAACAACCATGGTGTGTGAGAGAGGCGCTGCCGAGACAAAGTGAAGTCCTTAGTCTCCCTCGTACCAAAGTTTACACAGTAAGGAACAATTAAACAAGTTAGCCAGGCTTCTCCACTAAACGAACTGAGATATTTTTTCCGCCAAACGCTGTGTGTTTTCCTGATACAAGGATGGTGTAGTTGAATTAGGGAGTCACCAAGACAATGACTTATGCCTTATCAGTAATAAATTAAAGGGCTCTAAAGGCACACAGAATTAAACACTCTGTCCCGGTATTTACTAGCTCTTGTTACTTTAAATCTAATATTAATATATAAGAATATGACAAGCTTACTTAAAATATAACTTAAATTAGAATAAAACCTTACATGATGAGCAATAGAGCAATAAATATAAGCGAACACCTGGCTGTATCCTTCCCTAACCCAACTACATCACCTCGTCTCCACATTAGAACTGAGGGTTCCACATCACACAGAAGGCCACTGAGCCCAGCACAGGCAGTTATTTTCCCCACCATTAAAATGTACCTCTACATTACAATTGATAATCTAAATGTAATCAAAATATACAATAGTTCTTTCAAAAACACAATGCCGATAATTCAACAAAATAATTAAACAAACAATATACTGTGCAATGAATTAACCCACCAAAGAAAATGAACAGCGGCCACACAAGAACAATCTATACCATTTCCTATAACACTGACCCTCACCAGGAAAGTAAACACGAGCATCACCAGGACAATGATCACCAAGGTAAACACCGAGAACATCACCAGGACAAACACCGAGAACATCACCAGGAGAAACACCAAGAACAACCCCAGGACAAACACCGAGAACATCACCAGGACAAACACCAAGAACATCACCAGGAGAAACACCAAGAACAACACCAGGACAAACACCGAGAACATCACCAGGACAAACACCAAGAATATCACCAGGAGAAACACCAAGAACAACACCAGGACAAACACCGAGAACATCACCAGACAAACACCAAGAACATCACCAGACAAACACCAAGAACATCACCAGGACAATGATCACCAAGGTAAACACCGAGAACATCACCAAGACAAACACCAAGAACATCACCAGGAGAAACACCGAGAACATCACCAGGACAAACACCAAGAACATCACCAGGAGAAACACCGAGAACATCACCAGGACAAACACCAAGAACATCACCAGGACAAACACCAAGAACATCACATGGAGAAACACCAAGAACATTACCAGGACAAACACCAAGAACATTACCAGGACAAAGACCAAGAACATCACCAGGAGAAACACCAAGAACATCACCAGGACAAACACCAAGAACATCACCAGGACAAACACCAAGAACATCACCAGGACAAACACCAAGAACATCACCAGGGCAAAGACCATGAGCGCTCACCAGGACAACGGCAAGGAAAATGACCTTACCAGTAAATGGAATTCTTGTGTGTGTTGAAGATGGATGGCTGGAGGAGCCGGGTTACTCTCGCCAATGTGTTCACTGTTGGCTCAAGAAGTGCAGGTTTGTCTTCCTTCTGTTTTGTAAAGCTGCAGTGTTGGAATGGTAGTTGTGTAGCTGCAGTGTTGGAATGGTAGTTGTGTAGCTGCAGTGTTGTAGTGGTAGTTGTGTAGCTGCAGTGTTGTAATGGTATTTGTGTAGCTGCAGTGTTGTAATGGAATTTGTGTAGCTGCAGTGTTGTAATGGTAGTTGTGTAACTGCAGTAATGTAATGGTATTTGTGTAGCTGCAGTGTTGTAATGGTAATTGTGTAGCTGCAGTGTTGTAATGGTAATTGTGTAGCTGCAGTAATGTAATGGTATTTGTGTAGCTGCAGTGTTGTAATGGTAATTGTGTAGCTGCAGTGTTGTAATTGTAATTGTGTAGCTGCAATGTTGTAGATAGTGGTACTGTTGTAATTCATGTGTTTAGAAGAAGTTTTTTAACGATAGTGTTGTGAACTTACTTTATTAAGAGAGTGTTTTAAATGTAGTATTACATTGATGTAATGGTAGTCTGCGGTAGTGGTGTAATGGTAGTCTGCGGTAGTGGTGTAATGGTAGTCTGCGGTAGTGGTGTAATGGTAGTCTGTGGTAGTGGTGTAATGGTAGTCTGCCGTAGTGGTGTAATGGTAGTCTGCAGTAGTGGTGTAATGTCTGGGATGGTGTAATGGTAGTCTGCAGTAGTGTTAATGGTAGTCTGCGTAGTGGTGTAATGGTATCGGGTGTGTAATGTCTGCAGTAGTGGTGTAATGGTAGTCTGCGGTAGGTAATGGTATGGTGTAATGTATCTGCGGTATGGTGTAATGGTAGTCTGTGGTAGTGGTGTAATGGTAGTCTGCGGTAGTGGTGTGGTAGTCTCTGTAGTGGTGTAATGGTAGTCTGCGTAGTGGTGTAATGGTAGTCTGCGGTAGTGATGTAATGGTAGTCTTTGGTAGTGGTGTAGCAATGGTAGTCTTTGGTAGTGGTGTAATGGTAGTCTGCGGTAGTGGTGTAATGGTAGTCTGTGGTAGTGGTGTAATGGTAGTCTGCGGTAGTGTAATGGTAGTCTGCGGTAGTGGTGTAATGGTAGTCTGGTGAAGAAGTAATGGTAGTCTGCGGTAGTGATGTAATGGTAGTCGGTAGTAGTGTAATGGTAGACTGCTGTAGTGGTGTAATGGTAGTCTGCGGTAGTGGTGTAATGGTAGAGCTCGGTAGTGGTGTAATGGTAGTGGTGTAATGGTATCCTTTGGTAGTGGTGTAATCGTAACTGCAGTAGTGGTGCAATGGTAGCTTGGTAGGTGTAATGGTAGCCTTTGGTAGTGGTATAACGGTAGTCTGTGGTAGTGGTGTAATGGTAGTCTGCGGTAGTGGTGTAATGGTAGTCTGCGGTAGTGGTGTAATGGTAGTCTGCGGTAGTGGTGTAATGGTAGTCTGCGGTAGTGGTGTAAATGGTAGTCTGCGGTAGTGGTGCAATGGCAGTCTGCGGTAGTGGTGTAATGGTAGTCTGCGGTAGTGGTGCAATGGTAGTCTGCGTAGTGCAATGGCAGTCTGCGGTAGTGGTGGTAATGGTAGTCTGGTAGTGGTGTAATGGTAGCCTGGCGTAGTGGTGTAATGGTAGCTTGGTAGTGTGAATGGTAGTCTGCGGTAGTGGTGTAATGGTAGTCTGCGGTAGTGGTGTAATGGTAGTTTGGTAGTGGTGCAATGGTAGACTTTGGTGGTGTAATAGCAGCCTTTGGTAGTGGTAATGGCAGTCTGCGGTAGTGGTAATGGTAGCCTTTGGTAGTGGTGTAATGGTAGCTCGGTAGTGGTAATGGTAGTCTGTAGTGGTGAATGGTAGTCTGTGGTAGTGGTGTAATGGCAGTCTGCGGTAGTGGTGTAATGGAAGTCTGCGGTAGTGGTGTAATGGTAACCTGCGTGTGGTGTAATGGCAGTGTCTGTGATAGTGGTGTAATTTAGTCTGTGGTAGTGGTGTAATGGTAGTCTGTGTAGTGGTGTACGGTAGCCTTTGTAGTGGTGTAATTGTAGTCTGTGGTAGTGGTGTAATGGTAGTCTGTGGTAGTGGTAATGGTAGTCTGTGATAGTGGGTAATGGTCTGTGGTAGTGGTGTAATGGTAGTCTGTGGTAGTGGTGTAATGGTACTGTGGTAGTGGTGTAATGGCACTTTTTGTGGTAATGGTAGTCTGTGATAGTAATGGTAGTCTGTGGTAGTGGTGTAATGGTAGTCTGTGGTAGTGGTGTAATGGTAGTCTGTGGTAGTGGTGTAATGTGTCTGCGGTAGTGGTGTAATGGAAGTCTGGTAGTGGTGTAATGGTAACCTGCGGTAGTGTGTAATGGTAGTCTGGATAGTGGTGTAATTTTAGTCTGTGGTAGTGGTGTAATGGGTCTGTGGTAGTGGTGTAATGGTAGCTTTGGTAGTGGTGAATGGTAGTCTGTGGTAGTGGTGTAATGGTAGTCTGCGGTAGTGCGTAATGGTAGTCTGTGATAGTGGTGTAATGGTAGTCTGTGGTAGTGGTGTAATGGTGTCTGTGGTAGTGGTGTAATGGTAGTCCGTGGTAGTGGTTTAATGGTACCCTTGTAGTGGTGTGGTAGTTCGTGATAGTGGTAATGGTAGTCTGTAGTGGTGTAATGGTAGTTCGTGGTAGTGGTGTAATGGCAGTTTTGCAGTGTGTAATGGTAGTTCGTGTAGTGTGGTGTAATGGTAGTCTGTGGTAGTGGTGTAATGGTAGTCTGCGGTAGTGGTGTAAGGAAATTGCGGTAGTGGTGTAATGGTCAACCTGCGGTAGGGGTAATGGTAGTCTGCGGTGGTGTAATGGTAACTTTGGTGTGGTGTAATGGTAGTCTGGGGTAGTGGTGCAATGGTAGTCTGCGGTAGTGGTGTAATGATAACCTTTGGTACTGGTGTAATGGTAGTCTGTGGTAGTGGTGTAACGGTAGTTTCGGTAGTGGTGTAATGGTAGTCTGTGGTTGTGGTGTAATGGTAGCCTTGGTAGTGGTGTAATGCAATTGTGGTAGTGGTGTAATGGTAGTCTGTGGTAGTGGTGTAATGGTAGTCTGTGGTAGTGGCGTGCGGTAGTGGTGCAGGCAGTTCGTGATAGTGGTGTAATGGTAGTCTGGGGCAGTGGTGTAATGGAAGCCGCAGTGGTAATGGTAACCCGCGGTAGTGGTATGGTAGTCTGCGTAGTGGTGTAATGGTAGTTCGCGGTAGGTGTAATGGAAGTCTGCGTAGTGTAAATGGTAACCTGCGGTAGTGGTGTAATGGCAGTCTGTGGTAGTGGTGCAATGTAGTCGGTGGTAGTGGTGTAATGGTAGTCTGTGGTAGTGGTGTAATGGTAGTCTGTGTAGTGGTGTAATGGTAGTCTGTGGTAGTCGTTCAATGGTAACCTGCGGTAGTGGTGTAATGTAGTCTGTGATAGTGGTGTAATGGTAGTCTGTAGTGGTGTAATGGTAGTCTGTGGTAATGGTGTAATGGTAGTCTGTGGTAGTGGTGTAATGGTAGCCTTTGGTAGTGGTGTAATGGTAGTCTGTGATAGTGGTGTAATGGTAGTCTGTGGTAGTGGTTTAGTGGTAGTTTGTGGTAGTGGTGTAATGGTAGCTCGGTAGTGGTGTAATGGAAGTCTGCGGTAGTGGTGTAATGGTAACCTGCGGTAGTGGTGTTATGGTAGTCTGCGGTGGGGTGTAATGGCAACTCGGTAGTGGTGTAATGGTAGTCTGGGGTAGTGGTGTAATGGCAGTCTGCGTAGTGGTGTAATGGTAACCCTTGGTAGTGGTGTAATGGCAGTCTGTGGTAGTGGTGTAATGGCAGTTCGTGGTACTGGTGTAATGGTAGCCTTTGGTAGTGGCGTAATGGTAGTCTGTGGTAGTGGTAATGGCAGTTCGTGGTAGTAGTGTAATGGCAGTCTGTGGTAGTGGTGTAATGGTAGTCCGCGGTAGTGATGTAATGGAAGTTCGCGGTAGTGGTGTAATGGTAACCTGCGTAGTGGTGTAATGGTAGTCTGCGGTGGTAATGCAACGGCAGGTGTAATGGCAGTTCGGGTAGGTGTAATGGTAGTTCGGTAGTGGTGCACGGCAAACCGGTAGTGGTGTAATGGTAGTTCGTGGTAGTGTAATGGTAGTCTGCGGTAGCGGTGAATGGTGTTCTGGTAGTGGTGTAACGGCAGCCTTTGGCAGTGGTGTAATGGCAGTCTGTAGCAGTGGTAATGGCAGTCTGTGGTAGTGGTGTAACGGTAGTCTGTTGTAGTGGTGTAATGGTAGCCTCGGTAGTGGTGTAATGGTAGTCTCTGGTAGTGGTGCAATGATAGTCTGTGTAGTGGTGTAATGGTAGTCTGTGGTAGTGGTAATGGCAGCTCTTGGTAGTGGTGCAATGCAGGCATTGTGGTAGTGGTGTAATGGTAGTCTGCGGTAGTGGTGTAATGGAAGTCTGTGGTAGTGGTGTAATGGTAAATCTGTGTAGTGGTGTAATGTTAACCTGCGGTAGGGGTGTAGTAGTCTGTGGTAGTGGTGTAATGGTAGTCTGTGGTAGGTGGTGTAATGGTAGTCTGTGGTAGTGGCTCAATGGTAGCCTTTGTAGTGGTGTAATGTTAGTTCGTGATAGTGGTGTAATGGTAGTCTGTAGGTGGTGTAATGGTAACCACGGTAGTGGTGTAATGGTAGTTCGTGATAGTGGTTTAATGGTAGTCTGGAAGTGGTGTAATGTTGTCTGTGGTAGTGGTGTAATGTTAGTCTGCGGTAGTGGTGTAATGGCAGCCTTAGTGGTGTAATGGTAGTCTGTGGTAGTGGTGTAATGGTAGTCTGTGGTAGTGGTGTAATGGCAGTCTGTGGTAGTGGTGTAATGGCAGTCTGTGGTAGTGGTGTAATGGCAACCTGCGTAGTGGTGTAATGTTAACCTGCGGTAGTGGTGTAATGGTAACCTGCGGTAGTGGTGTAATGGTAGCTCTCGCTAGTGGT